CCATTAATCCGCCGAGAGCGCGCTTGGCAAATCTACCAGAAGCGGTGGCACACGAGGAAAGCGATCTGTCTTAACTGCTCGAGCGCTTCCGTTTCAAGCTCCTCAAGAGAGGAACAAAAAAAAAGGAGCTTAACCAATCTTTCGCTCGTAACCGTCGCGGGCTGCGCCGGATGATCTCACAACGAGACTCGACGAGTGGGTTTCTGCGCGGAAAAAAAAAAGATTCTCGCGGTTTCGCCGGCGTCCTTAACGCTGACGCTAAACTCCACCGAGTTGTTATCTCGATATACCGTAGCGATACCACGAACGCTACCTCATCAGTTGCATAATCCGACGCGACGCCTCGTCGTGTACGTACGTGTATCGGCGTGGCGCAACACGCGGTGCACGCGCATTTACGCGCATGTACGCGCGCGCGAGCGCTTATCGTTTCCATGCGGAATAGTGTGCGCGTCAAATATTAAAATTCTTTCATTTTAATGCGCCGTAACGCGTCGCGGCGCGTCGGAAAAAAACGAGCATGTGTTTAACCAATGGAAACGCGTTTAATCAGTGAAAACGCGCGCGAGGCGTGGAAATCGAGAGTGAAACTCTCGCTCCGGACGACCTGTAAAATCTCTAAAGTCGCGCCGGCGAGGCGCAAAAATTTTCAAGGAGTTAGAACGCGCCTACAAAAAGTGTATATTAAAATACACGCGCGAATATATCGAAAAATACATATTTATGTGAATGTTGTAATGAACATATTGTAATGAAAATTGTATCCCGAAATCTATGGACCGTCTAAACGGATCGTGAGTTTACGGGAGAAGAGAAAGAAGAGCGAAATACAAACCGTCCCCTCATTTTTCCCGTCTACGCTCGAACAGTAACGCGTATTTCCTGTTTTCTTTCCGCATAGACTCGGCCAGCCGCAATTTACAAATTTCAAGCCTCTTTATCGTTTACGTGAGTTGCGTCATAGAAGTGACTAATTTGCCTTGATGCCTCGAGCGAGAGAGAGAGAAAAAAAGAGGCATTTTTCGCCTCCGATCCAGCGACGGGCGATCTTTTAGAAAATATTGATCTTGAATTGGAAAGGCAAAATCGTGGCCGAATCGATTTCCTAAAAATCGACAAAAAAAGTTGCACGTGGCGATCGCATTTAAACACATTTATTCACGGGAAAAAATGCCGTTGAATTCGACAAAAATGAAGTTGCTTGAATTAAACATTGACGTCACGGGCTGCCACAAATAATTCACTCGATCGTATTTGCTATAAATTTAATCGCTTAACTAAATAGATCATTAAGACAACTATCTGATGCTTCTCATTCGTTAATACTGATTCTCTTTCAACGATTTTACTTCAATTACACTGATCTTGTTGATACAACATATTTTTCCCCCGCGTTCTTATCTCGTATATATCTATTAAATTAAAAATTAATTGGTTTGCTTGTGCAAGAGTTATCCAATCCACATGGAGTATGTTGTAAGAAGAATGGAAACGAAAATTTGACGGATGATTTAAAGATAAAGAACACGGAAGTTTTTCATTACAACGATTTAGGAAGTCACGCATGAGCAATTTTCTTTTTACTCCTGACTGCTGCCAATCGACAGTTAACAAAAACGTTGCAAGCATGTGTTTCATCAATGTTGCATCTTTTGTTCGCGCGGTGAAGTTTCTCACGTAAGCTTCTTGCGTCCAGTGACGGACAGACTGGTTGCGACACTTTTTTTAGCGAGTTTAGGAATGTGCATTTGGATTCAAGGTTACGTTTCAAAATCTGCTTCTCCGAGGAATATTTTACTCGGTGACCGTTTCGAAATTATTTCGAGCGTTTTCGACCTACTTCTCGAGTAAAATTTTCCTCGGAGAAAATGCGTTGGAACGAAAACCTGAATCTAAAAGCTCGTTTCAAAATTTATTTATTAAAAAAAAATGTCGCAACCATTATTTCCATCGCTGTACGCAACTAAATAGAAAAAAAAACAGAAAAAAGAAAGAAAATTACTTTCCTCGATCCCTTCTTGGCTGCGTCCCTTAAGAAAAAAATGCAGTCAAAACTGATAAAAATCTGATCACTAATTGATGGATAACTAATAATTGTAACTAATGATAGCACAACCGGTGTATTGAAACAATTTTTAAACACGTTTTATATTCATCAGTAATTGATCAAACTTCCAGTTCTAGTTGAGCCATCAGTTGAGTCACCAGTTGTAGCTGATTAGTTATCCAGTCAGTTAGTGTCCAGTTGTCATTTCAGTTTTCTTTCACCAGCTCTGTTAAACATTTTTTATAACAGTGTATATATATTACACAAGTATTTTATGACTATTGTTGTTTGCGTAACAGTAATATAAAACTATTGCAATTGATAATTGACTGGTACAAACTTACCAATTGAGAAACAAGAGTGGTAATTATACAGGGTGATTCAGACCACCCGTACAGCCCC